GAGAGTGAACAGGAAAAGGAGAGGAAGCCATGCTTGAGAGAGAGAAGGGGGGCTGTGAGATCGGAGAATCCGTTGCCATCCAGCTGTGAAGACTGCCCTCCGTAATCAGAAATTCCATTGAGTTGAAGCTGATGGTGTTCAAGACGCTAATCCTGTCCAAAGAGGGGAAGAATTTGCTGCCAGGAAGCTGATGGAGGACAGAGGAGCAAAGCAACATACATTGCTGATAACATCACACGATTAGTGGAGAGACTTTTGTTCTGTTCAGAGTCATCAGCGGCTGCAATACAGACCAGGGTCGGTAAGATCGTGCACGCACCTCATTTCAGTGTTGGCGCCCATAGGACTGAGTCCAGGCCTATAGTTAGTTGAGTTAGGGTCTCTGTTTGTGTCAGGCCAACAAGTGTTATTGCTGATCATTGGAAGGACTCCACAACTTAAAGTGACATTTCACATTGGAGAGCTGATAAAATCCTACAAACTCAAGCCAGACGTGTTTTGCTCAGAAGGAATACTCAGGCACGTGCTACAGGACCAGTTATGGGAGGGGGAATACTGTAGATTTTGTGTAAGATTGTAAGCTGTTGTGCTGCACCGCAGGCTAGCCCATCCCGTACCCCCATACACTGATTCTGTAGGGTAATGACAGGTAAGGTGTGGCAGCTTAGTTGTGCCCCCCAGTAGGTAAATTACTTCACTTTCTACCTTCATCCATCAGGAGGCGCCGTGCTGTGCAGCACAAGGGTCTCAGCCTTTGGGCTGGGTGTATGTAAATGTATTGTATGTTCCCAGCATTTGTGGTTGTGTTTATTTGCCACATCTAAGTAAAATTCTGTTGTGACAAAAGCTGGTGTTGGGGTTGCTTTCCTCGTTCGTGACTTCACTGTATCCTGGGGAGCCCACCCCGGTACATGGCTTACACGGGATTCCATAGCTCTGGCGGGATCTATAGTTTAGATGGGATCCGTAGCTCTGCGGGATCCGTAGCTCAGGCGGGATCCGTAGCTCTGGCGGGATCCGTAGCTCTGGCGGGATCCGTAGCACAGGCGGGATCCGTAGCTCTCGCGGGATCTGTAGTTTCAGGGATCAGCAGCACACTAATATTACATGAAATTAATGCAAACATGGATTCCCACGCAGTGGGTCTTCTCCAACAAACATATAGATGTAACACGTGAAGATCTCAGAGCGTACTTCACACCCCACAGCGGCCATCCTCCTCCCCTCAGCCTGGAAAAGGCGGAAAAGAGAGCAGGTCTGCCTGAGGGACAGGACAGCCAATCACAGGAGAGGAGCTGAGAGGCGGGAACACATGAGGGAACTTTGGGAACCGTGAGGGGAGTTGCAGGACTGCTCAGCCAATCACAGAAGAGGAGCTGAGAGGCGGGAACACATGAGGGAACTGCTGTGAGGTGAGTGAGTGACAAGACTGTTCAGCCAATCACAGGAGAGGGGCTGAGAGGCGGGAACACGTGAGGGAACTTTGGGAACCGTGAGAGGAGGAACATGATGGCTCAACCAATCACAGAAGAGGAGCTGAGGGGGTAACACATGAGGGAACTTTGGGAACCGTGAGGGGAGTTGCAGGACTGCTCAGCCAATCACAGAAGAGGAGCTGAGAGGCGGGAACACATGAGGGAACTGCTGTGAGGTGAGTGACAGGACTGCTCAGCCAATCACAGGAGAGGAGCTGAGAAGGAGGGAACATGTGAGGGAACTGCTGGGAACTGTGAGGGGAGTTGTAAGGACTGCTCAGCCCAATGACAGGAGGAGCTGAGAGGCGGGAACAATTGAGAGAACTGCTGAGACCTGTGAGGGGGAGGGACAGGACTGTTCAGCCAATCACAGAAGAGGAGCTGAGAGGTACATCAGAGAACTACTGGGACCTGTGAAGGGAGTGACAGGGACTGCTCAGCCAATCACAGGAGAGGAGAGGCGGGAAACTGCTGTGGAACTGTGAGGAGATTTTCAGGATGCTCAACCAATCACAATGGAAGAGTTGATAGGTGGGAAACACAGCTGTGAGGGAACTACTGGGAACTGTGAGGTGAGTGGTAGGACTGTTAAACCAATGACAGGACAGGAGCTGAGAGGCGGAAAAACTTGAAAACACAACTGTGAGGTGAGTGACAGGACTGCTCAGCCAATTACCACAGAGCAGTTGGGAGGGGGAACAATTGAGGTTCAAAATATAAGAGGATGATGGAGAGTATCTGGTGGGAACACAACTGTGAGGGGACAAGCTCTCTCAGCCAATCACAGGTGAGTATCTGAGAGGTGGGAACACAGCTGTGAGGGGACAATCTCCCTCAGCGAATTACAGAAGAGTAGCTGTGAGGCAGGGCAGCTCTAAAGGGAGTGACAAGTCTCCTCAGCCAATCGTAGGAGAGAATCTGGGAGGCGGGAACACCTGAGATAACTGCTGTGAGGTGATGACAAGCTCTCCCAGCCAATTACCAGAGATGTAGATGGGAAGTTGTGACGGCTGTGAGGTGAGTGACAGGTTTCCTCAGCCAATCGCAGGAGAGGAACTAGGAGACTGGAAACATCTGTGAGGTAAATGACAGACTCTTTCAGCCAATCACAGGAGAGTATTTGGGAGGAGGGAACACCTGAGGTAACAGGTGACAATCTCTCTCAGCCAATCACAGGAGAGTATTTGGGAGCGGGAACACCTGAGGTAGCAGGTGACAAACTCTCTCCAATGAGGTATTTGGGAGGCGGGAACACCTGGGGTAACAGGTGACAAGCTCTCCCAGCCAATTGCTGGAGAGTAGATGGGAGGCGGGGAAGCTCCAAAGGATAATGGCGTGTCTCCACTCAGCCAATCACAGGAGAGGAGCTGGAAGGTTCAAATGCCTATGAGATGATTGACAAACTGTCTCAGCCAATTATAGGACAGGAGCAGGGAGGCAGGACAGCTGTGATGGGAGTGACAGGTCTCCTCAGCCAATCACAGGGGAGAAGCTGGAAGACCTAAAGTAACAGCCGTGAGTTGAGTGGCCAACTCTCCCAGCCAATCACAGGAGCGTGTCTGGAGGTGGGGACATCTGATTGGACAGCTGTGAGGGTGGCAGGTCTGGTGTAGAGAATATGTCTGTTGTGAAGGGCTCTCTTGGTCTCAGGTGGTTCCCTGGGGGGAGGAGTCAGACTATTTTGGTCCCCCATTTAATAGAAGTCACATGACATCCATTGTACTGGATTATAATGAGGGGAAAGCTGCTTTATCTGTGACCTGTAACACCAGGCGGGTGGAATAGATTTATTACTAGAAGAGGAATTGTCCCGCCCCCGAGGGACTGACACAGGACAGGATTATTCCAGAGATGATTGGGGGATGGAGGACATAAAACCAATGACACGGAATAGAATCTCAGGAGATGGACCTCGGCTGCTTCTATCTGATTGTCATCTGCAGGACTGGAGCTTCCTCATAGATGGCCGTCTGTTCTTTATTACAGCTGATTGCTGGGAGGTCAAATCAAACTGCATTTGTGTGCGATGGCCAGTCCTGACCAGACAGCAGCAGAATGGTCCCTCAGACAGTCCTTATTTCCTGCCGGAATGTTGTCAGATGGGATTCTTCTTTCAAAAGTCTCAGGTGAGCTACTTCTCCCTCTTCAGATGGATTCCTAAATTGGAGGTCTTGCCCGGAGCTCCCCTTTAATCTTTAGCACTGACTGCACTGAGCCCCTGACCCCAGGCGGAGGTGGGTATTGTGACGAAACGCGGCATCCGACCCCTGCCCTTCTCACCAACTCGTGATTCGCATCCACGCTGCTGTCACTTGCGTAACAATGCCACTCTCAGCTGCACCCTGCACAAAGATTTTCCAGCTCGCAGGACCACAATCTATGTGCCTGCAGACTGAGGGCGATTGTTACTGGGTCAGGTTAATTACACAATTAACCCTTCACACTGCCACTGCCACCACCAACTTCTTACAGAGAAGGAGGAAACTCACAAATCCCTAGCAACAACACTATGATCTTAGTATAAGCGTCTGTAACACGCACTGTCACAGCAGACAGGGATATCAGAGGATTATTACGCACTGTCACAGGACAGGGATATTCAGAGGATTATTACGCACTGTCACAGCAGACAGGGAGATTCAGAGGATTATTACGCTCTGTCACCGCAGACAGGGATATTCTGAGGATTATTACACACTGTCACCACAGGGACAGGGATATCAGAGGATTATTACACTCTGTCACCGCAGACAGGGAAATATCAGAGGATTATTACACACTGTCACAGCAGACACTTATTCAGGGATATTACACGCTGACCACAGACAGGGATATTCAGAGGATTATTACGCACTGTCACCCCAGACAGGGAGATCAGAGGATTATTACGCACTGTCACAGCAGACAGGGATATTCAGAGGATTATTATGCACTGTCACCACAGACAGGGATATTCAGAGGATTATTACGCACTGTCACCCCAGACAGGGAGATTCAGAGGATTATTACGCACTGTCACAGCAGACAGGGATATTCAGAGGATTATTACGCACTGTCACCACAGACAGGGATATTCAGAGGATTATTACTTATTACGCACTGTCACAGCAGTCAGGGATATTCAGAGGATTATTACACACTGTCACCACAGACAGGTATATTCAGAGGATTATTACACACTGTCACAGCAGACAGGGCTATTCAGAGGATTATTACGCACTGTCACAGCAGACAGGGATATTCAGAGGATTATTACGCACTGTCACCGCAGACAGGGCTATTCTGAGGATTATTACGCACTGTCACCACAGACAGGTATATTCAAAAGGATTATTACGCACTGTCACAGCAGACAGGGATATTCAGAGGATTATTACGCACTGTCACCGCAGACAGGGCTATTCTGAGGATTATTACGCACTGTCACCACAGACAGGTATATTCAGAGGATTATTACGCACTGTCACAGCAGACAGGGATATTCAGAGGATTATTACACACTGTCACCACAGACAGGTATATTCAGAGGATTATTACGCACTGTCACAGCAGACAGGGATATTCAGAGGATTATTACGCACTGTCACCACAGACAGGTATATTCAGAGGATTATTACACACTGTCACAGCAGACAGGGCTATTCAGAGGATTATTACACACTGTCACCGCAGACAGGGATATTCAGAGGATTATTACGCACTGTCACCACAGACAGGTATATTCAGAGGATTATTACGCACTGTCACAGCAAACAGGGATATTCAGAGGATTATTACGCACTGTCACCAGACAGGGATATTCAGAGGATTATTACGCACTGTCACCAGACGGGTATTCAGAGGATTATTACGCACTGTCACAGCAGACAGGGGTATTCAGAGGATTATTACGCACTATCACCACAGACAGGGGTATTCAGAGGATTATTACACACTGTCACCAGACAGGGCTATTTGGAGGATTATTACGCACTATCGCCACAGACAGGGATATTCGGAGGGTTATTACACGCTGTCGCCGCAGACAGGGATAGTCGGAGGGTTATTACGCACTGTCGCCGCAGACAGGGATAGTCGGAGGGTTATTACGCGCTGTCGCCGCAGATAGGGATATTCAGAGGGTTATTACGCGCTGTCACCACAGACAGGGATATTCAGAGGATTATTACGCGCTGTCACCACAGACAGGGATATTCAGAGGATTATTACACGCACTGTCACCACAGACAGGGATATTCAGAGGATTATTACACGCACTGTCACCACAGACAGGGCTATTCAGAGGATTATTACGCACCGTCACCCCAGACAGGGCTATTCAGAGGATTATTACGCACCGTCACCCCAGACAGGACTATTCAGAGGGATTATTACGCACCGTCACCCCAGACAGGGCTATTCAGAGGATTATTACGCACCGTCACCCCAGACAGGGCTATTCAGAGGATTATTATATGCTGTCACCACAGAGAGATCTTCGGAGGATTATTACACGCGGGATCCACAGACAGGGATATTCGGAGGATTATTACACGTGGGTCACCACAGACAGGGATATTTGGCGGATTATTACATACAGGAGCACTCTTCAAGAGACAGGGATTCTTTAGTTTGCATTAAAAGCTTTAGAGACAGTTTCAACACTTTTCAAAATAGGGTTTATTACTAAAAAGGTCAAAATGGTGCAATTAAAAATATTTACAGAAACAGATGTTACAAAGACATAAAAAGATAACAATAAAGCAACAGAGAAATAAAAGAAAGTTCAGAAGGCAGAATACCTGCAAAGTTCTGGTTTAGCCGAGTCCAATTGGCTGAGCAAAACGGTTGCCTTGGCTCTCAAGTCTCGTTAGATGTTTCTTGATTGATGTTTAAAAAAGAACTCCCCTTCACAAGGTCTGTCAGTCCTTTTCTAGGATATTAAAGTTGTGTCACCACAGAATAACTGACCAATCATCCAGTTTTGGATTATTTGCCATGTAGAAATATCATTTCTACAAAAAACAGTGACTGATCCGGTTAGTGATGTCTGACTGCTAGTATTTTTGAACACAACTGTATATGCTCTAATTGAAATGCATAATTCCTCCTATCAATCCTTCCTCATTGTAGTTTGTTGTAATTTCATAAAGGAGTACACTCCACGCCCAATAAAGTTGTTTGTTGGATGTTTTTCGATCTTTTTTAAGCACAACAACACATTGGGGGATATTTACTAAAGCTGGTTCACTCAGAATCTGGTGCAGCTGTGCATGACAGCGAGTCAGCTCCTAATTGCAGCTTGCTCAATTGAGCTTTGGAAATAAAACCTGGAAGCATGATTGGTTCTATGCAGAAATGCACCGATTTTTCAACTTCAGCTTCAGTAAATAAACCCCAATGCCTAAACAAAGTTCTAGTGCAAAAAAAAACAAAAAAAGCGCAAATTGCTGCCACCCAGTGGTCATCTGTACACCCTGCATGTAATCACAAAAGTCATTGTGCTAATTCTCCATGTCACCACCAGGTGGCAGTAGGAGACTTTGTAGAAGAGTTTATAATACATGGGGGACATGATTTTATACAGAGGGGGCAATTATGTGCGGTCAGCAATTTTGGCAAAGACAAAAAAATCTGTATGTTAAGTCAGAGCTTGTTTTTCTTTTTCATTAAAGTCGAACTCCAAGCAAACAGCTAAATACACAGATGAAAAAAACAACAAATATATTAAAAAATATAGTATATTCAATTAAAAAACACATATTGTAATTAAATGTTATAAATGACCCTTCCTTTAAAATCTACAGCTCTGTAATCTTCTGTAAAATGAAATGTAGCTACCTGAACAAATATGTACAGAAAGACCCCGCCAGCAACATCATTTCCTGCTTGTGTGATTGGCTCACTGATTTTCCCAGAAGTCTGCACTAAGGTACAGTGAAGGAAATGCGTATTTGCTCCCCTGCTGATGCTGAATGTTCGCCCCTCACAAAGAAATGATCGGTCTAAAAATCGAATGTTCGGTGTATTGTAACACTGAGAGACAGAATAGCAACAACAAATTCAGCAGAAATGCGTCTAACAAATGATGACTGATCTGCATGTTAATGAGGGAAATAAGGATTTGATCCCCTTCACAAAACATGACTTAGTACTTGGTGGCAAATCCCTTGTTGGCAATCACAGAGGTCAGACGTTTCCTGGAGTTGGCCACCAGGTTTGCACACAACTCAGGAGGGGTTTTGGCCCACTCCTCTTGACAGATCCTCTCAAAGTCATTCAGGTTTGGTGGCTGACGTTTGGCAACTCGAACTTTCAGCTCCCTCCACAGATTTTCAATCGGATGAAGGTCTGGAGACTGGCTAGGCCACTCCAGGACCTTAATGTGCTTCTTCTTGAGCCGCTCCTTTGTTGCCTTGGCCGTGTGTTTTGGGTCATTGTCATGCTGGAACACCCATCCACCACCCATTTTCAATGCCCTGGCTGAGGGAAGAAGGTTCTCACCCAAGATTTGATGGTACATTGCCCCGTTCATCATCCCTTTGATGCGGTGCAGTTGTCCTGTCCCCTTAGCAGAGAACCCCCCCCCCAAAGCAGAATGTTTCCACCACCATGTTTCACAGTCGGGATGGTGTTCTTGGGGTCATAGGCAGCATTCCTCCTCCAAACACGGCGAGGTGAGTTGATGCCAAAGAGCTGGATTTTGGAGTCATCTGACGGACAACACTTCCCACCAGTCCTCCTCTGCATCATTCAGATGTTCAGTGGCAGACTTCAGACGGGCCTGGACATGTGATTTCTTGAGCAGAGGGACCTTGCGGGCACTGCAGGATTTTATTATATAAAAAAAAATCACCAGCGCCAAAACCGTGAATTATATGCTAAATAAATAAATAAATGCTGCTGCTCTTTAGTGTAAACACCAAAAAAAATTATAAAACATCAAGACAGCGTAAATATATAATACAAATTAATAATTATACACTCCAAAAAATTCAATAAATAATAAGAAATATATATAGGAGTTAAAAATTAATACGTCCCACTCCAATTCAATAAAGTGAAAAAATAAAAATAAATTCATAAAAGTCCTTTTCCAAAGAGCCTTTGACCCGCGCTGACACCGTAATAATGCTCAAATAACACACCGCACTCACCAGATATTGGTGAAAAAAAAAACCTTTTTAGGGTTTTTTTTGGGATCCTAGACCCAGTCAATAAGCCTCCAATCACCGGATATTTTGGATTTCCCCCTTCTCCAGACAGGAATATAACCAGCCTCCAACCTCCAGGATCACCAGACACCACTCACCAAGAAAAGCTATGAATGATGCAGAGAAAAAAACAAATCTATAGTGTAATCCTGCAATACTCGGGCAGAACCAATTTCCAAATACCAAACCGTCACATTCTTAAAAAGTGTAATCAGCATTTATTGTATTTCAAATGGAGCCAAACACCACATCAGCGGGGTATTCCTGAGATCTCACGGTCAGCAATAGATGACAGCACAAGAATCACCAACAAGCAAGATGGCCCCCCGGGAACGCCACACGCCGATGTGCATTCCACTCACCAGAAGTAACGTGATATGTTGGACGGCGAAGCCGGAAATACATCAACGCGTTTCACCCCTCTTCCAAGGCATTTTCATAAACACCACCATTCCAGTCGTCGTATATATAATAGATGCAGGATCCTCCCCGTTGTACCTGATAGGACATATGCTAATCCCAAACCCTATCCAGCTGTCAGCTCCTCCCACCGTGGGATCCCATTACAATATACCTTACATGGATAAATATACAACTCCAGGACAATACTTCCCTCAAAAAACACATTAACAGGCTTCCCCCAAATACATTCATGCTGATCTTTAACTATCACAATATTTTATGACAATTTATAAAATTCTTTACCATATACAAAAATACTAATATTTATTAAATATAAATGAAGTAAATAAAAAGAAGGAAAAATTAAATCAAAATAAATAAAAGAAAGAAAGAAAAAAGAAGAAAAATAAAAATGAAAATAAAAAATAAATATAAGTAATAAAAATAATAAAGATGAAAATAAATTTAACCGCTAGCCTACAGGGCACTTATACCCCCTTCCTGCCTACAGGGCACTTCTACCCCCTTCCTGCCTACAGGGCACTTATACCCCCTTCCTGCCTACAGGACACTTCTACCCCCTTCCTGCCCAGGCCAATTTGCAGCTCTCAGCGCTGTCACACTTTGAATGACAATTACGCAGTCATGCAACACTGTACCCATATGACATTTTTATTATTTTTTTGTGACAGATAGAGCTTTATTTTGGGTGGTATTTAATCACCTCGGGGATTTTTATTTTTTTCTTAAACCAAAAACCGCTGAAAATTTTGAAAAAAAAAAAAAGTTTTTTAGTTTTTGTTGTAAAAGTTTGTAAATAAGTGATTTTTCTCCTTCACTGATGTGCGCTAATGAGGCTGCAGTGATGGCACTGATAGGCTGCACTGATTGGCACTGAGGAGGCACTGGTAGGTGGCACTGATGGGCATTGACAGGCATCACTGATGGTCACTGATAGGCGGCACTGTTAGGTGGCACTGACTGGCACTGTTAGGCAGCACTGATAGGCGGCACTGACTGGCACTGATAGATGGCACTGATTGGCATTGATTGGTGGCACTGACTGGCACTGAAAGGCAGCTCAGATGGGCACTGATATGTGGCATTGATGTGCACTGGTAGGCACTGATATGTGGCATTGATATGGCACTGATGGGCACTGGCAGGTGGCACTGTTCAGCACTGACACAAGGCACTGATGGACACTGACAGGTGGCACTTCTGGGGCCACATTGATCATCAGGGTACACTGATCATCAGTGCCCTGATGATCAGTGTACATGTCCCCTCCGCGGAATGCCGATTACCAGCTCTCCTCTCCTCTGTCAGCGTGACAGCTCGTAGGGAGAGAATTGCCGATAACCGACATTTCCCTATTTACATGTGATCAGCTGTGATTGGACACAGCTGATCACATGACCGAGCTGACATCTTCGGCTCTTTCCGTAGATCGGTGATCCGCTGTGTCCGAGGTCCGTGAGCCACGCATGCGCGGTGAGAATGGGAGGACGTCATATGACATCCTCCCAGAACGAGAGAACCGCCTTGCTCCCGTTACTGGACTATATGGCGGGTGGGAGGTGGTTAAAATACAAATAAAAATTATATAAACAACTGCATTCTCAACTAGGTAGGCACCCAGATAAAAGCTATTACCAATTACACAAAAAACAGTTTATGACGATATCTACATTTAACCCTTTAGGTACCAAAGTGCCTAACTGATAAATCCATTTTGTTTCGTTCTGTGACACAGATTTAACCATATCCCCCCCCCCCCCCCCCTCCAAAGGGGTCCTGACTCTATATTTGCCACAAAACATCAACGATGATGGATCTCTATTATGAAATAATAATAATATTAATAATAATATTTATAGCCCTTTTTTATATTCCTGATACGTTCCCCTAATCTCGTGGATAATTTTTCTTGTGGTCCTACCTATGTACTGGAGATCACAAGGACATTCCAGTAGGTATGTTACGTATGTACTATCACATGAAATAAATTCTCTAATCTTATGGGGACATCCCATTAGATTGTGACTGAAAATGAGTAACTTTTATTTGTGTCCCCCTTCATACTCCTACATGCCAAGCACCTCCCACACTTGGAAAAACCCACTCTGTCCAAAAAAGTGAGCTTTTTCAAGGGTGCATCTGGAACATTTTTTACCGACTTATCCCTCAGGGTTGGTGGCTTCCTATAAATGAATTTTGGTTTATTGGGCAATAAATCATTTAATACATCATCTCTTTTTTAGAATAGGCCGGTGATTGCTGATAATATATTCAATTAATTGATATTGGTTAGAAAAACCTGTAATGAAGGCGGAGTCACCATTAATATTTTCCTTTTCTTTTTTATGTAATAAATCATCTTTGTTAATCTTATTAACTTGTTCTAATGCGTCAACTAAGATCTCTCTCTTATAACCTTTTTCTTCAAATCTTTGTAGCACTATTTTTGATTGCACCTCACAATCTTTATTGTCATCACAATTACGTTTTATTCTCATTAGTTGACTCTTCGGAATAGCCCGCAGCCAATTCCCGTGATGACAACTGTGATTAGGGATATACCCATTCCTATCTACCTCTTTGAAATGGGTCCTAGTGCAAAATTTATCCTCATATCTGAAAATAGTTCAATCCAGAACAGGGGCAGACTGACAACTCATGGGGCCCCGGGCAATAGGGGATTATGGGGCCCGTGTGTCCTTGCCTAAACTCAAAAAAGGCTATGAAAAAGGTACCAGGGGCATCTCATGGGGCCCCCTACTGACCCGGGCCCTCGGGCAGTGCTCGAGTTTCTAAATGGTCAGTCCGCCCCTGATCCAAAACATTAATGGCTACAGAGCTAATATTATTAGTAAAGGAGATATTATATGAATTCCGTCCCGTATCCTGAATGTATTCCTCCAAAGTCTCTTGTGTCCCATTCCATATTATTACGATATCATCTATAAATCTCCTATACAACATCAGTTCTGATTTTTTATTTTTAAATATAGCCTCATTCTCATCGACTCATGAACAAGTTTTCTACGGAAGGGGCATACTTTGCCCCCATAGCAGCCCCCATGTCTATAGAAATTTTTATTATGCCAAAAAAAAAATTATTTTTTTTGGCTCCATTTGAAATACAATAAATGCTGATTACACTTTTTAAGAATGTGAGCGGTTTGGTATTTGGAAATTGATTCTGCCCGAGTATTGCAGGATTACACTTTATAATTGTTTTTTCCCCTGCATCATTCATAACTTTTCTTGGCGAGTGGTGTCTGGTGATCCTGGAGGTTGGAGGCTGGTTTTATTCCTGCCTGTAGTAGGGGAAATCTAAAATATCCGGTGATTGGAGGCTTATTGACTAAAAAGGCGTTTTTTTTTCACCAATAACTGGTGAGTTCGGTGTGTTATTTGAGCACTATTACGGTGTCAGCGCGGGTCAAAGGCTCTTTGGAAAAGGACTTTTATGACTTTATTTTTCACTTTATTGAATTGGAGTGGGACTTATTAATTTTTTTACTTTTTATATATATTTTTTATTATATTATCTTTTCACTGGAGTGTATATTCATCACATATTTTCTATTTATTAATTTGTATTATATATTTGCGCTGTTTTGATGTTTTTATATTTCAATATTTTTATTGAAATAAAGAGAAATACAACAACAAGATTATAAAGACTTAGCCCACCTACAAGGTGTGTAGAGGCATTCAAACAGGTTCACAAGTACATAGGCACATAGCAAACATCAAACAAGAATATTGCAAGTAAAGAAAACAAAAAAACAAATAAACAAGGACATAAAAAAAAAAAGAGAAAAACAAAGAAAAGAAAAAAAGGGGGGGAGGAGAGAAAGAGAAGAGAGGAAAGAGAGGGTCAGCCACATTCCCATTATGTGACAGAAATACACCTAATCCATGGTTCCCACGTGGCCTCAAATTTAGAGGTATTGTTGTTACTGATACTCGTAAGTTTATCATTTATCCTGATCCAATAAAGTTTTTGTTTGACCCAGTCTAGTGGAATAGATGTCTGTTTCCAACTTCTAGCTATTGTAATTCGTGCTGCTAACAATATATAAAGAATTAATTTAACTGATTTCTTGGGAATATCAGAGGGCAACAGATGAAATAGCGCTACCTCTGGAGTTCTGCAAATATTAATTCCCGTTACTGAGTAAAGAAAATTAAATATTCGGATCCAAAATCTATGGACCTGCGGACATTTCCACCATACAGCATAGTGCCCTCCTGTCCACAGCGTCTAAAGCAATTGGGAGACACTGCTGGGTACATTTTGGCAAGGCGTGTTGTGACTAGAAACATGAGCCTCAAGATGTCTTTTTCAGAGATTTCATCTTCCTGGAATTCAGAGCAGGACCATTTGGAAACCATTTGGAAACTCGAGCACTGCCCGAGGGCCCGGGTCAGTAGGGGGCCCCATGAGATGCCCTGGTACCTTTTTCATAGGTTTTTTTTGAGTTTGAGCAAGGACACAGGGGCCCCATGATTCCCTGCTGCCTGGGGGCCCCATGAGTTGTCAGTCCGCCTCTGGGCCGAAGCCTGGGACTCATGTAGTGCAGGGCTGGAAGGTTATTGGGGGGACTGTGGAGGTTCACTCACCCCAGTGGACGAGGTCTCCGCTGTCCGGTCCCAACCCGTGGAGGAAACAGAGCCCATCTTCGTCCTCTGAGGGAGAGGCACTGGCCGTGTGGAGGAAGAGGAGGCAGCAGGGGCCATGGGTGCCGAGCCGGATGCCATCTTGGGTGCCCTGCTCACTGAAGGGATCGATTGTTGTGAGCCGCCACGGCTCCTTCCTGCCATCCGTCCCAGCATGACTGGGGTTCCCCTGGTGTCTGGTCAAGACCCGGAGCAGGTATCGGGATCAGAGGGGGCTTGGTGCCCTTATACAGGTAATAATGATGCCGGGGGTGGGCAGAGCTATGGCCTGAGCTTGTACGCTGGTCGCCGCGCATGCGCACTCATTGATTTGATGTTTTATATATTCTTCTACATGCTCATAACCAGCGCCCCTCCCACGCGGTGCCCAAGGAAGCGTCCCTCCCAGTCTCTGACTATCTCCTGTACCAAGTCTGCAGCCTCTGACCATCTCCTGTAGTACGTCTCCAGTCTCTGACCATCTCCTGTAGTACGTCTGCAGTCTCTGACCATCTCCTGTAGTATATATCCAGTCTCTGACCGTCTCCTGTAGTATATATCCAGTCTCTGACCGTCTCCTGTAGTATATATCCAGTCTCTGACCGTCTCCTGTAGTATATATCCAGTCTCTGACCGTCTCCTGTAGTATATATCCAGTCTCTGACCGTCTCCTGTAGTATATATCCAGTCTCTGATCGTCTCCTGTAGTATATATCCAGTCTCTGACCATCTCCTGTAGTATGTCTGCAGTCTCTGACCGTCTCCTGTCCTATGTCTGCAGTCTCTGACCGTCTCCTGTCCTATGTCTGCAGTCTCTTACCATCTCCTGTCCTATGTCTGCAGTCTCTGACCGTCTCCTGTACTATGTCTGCAGTCTCTGACCGTCTCCTGTACTATGTCTGCAGTCTCTGACCGTCTCCTGTACTATGTCTGCAATCTCTGACCATCTCCTGTCCTATGTCTGCAGTCTCTGACCGTCTCCTGTCCTATGTCTGCAGTCTCTGACCGTCTCCTGTCCTATGTCTGCAGTCTCTGACCGTCTCCTCTAGCATGTTATCATATATCATGAATAAGGTACATCTAGGGTGACACCTGGGATGGATCTGCTTTTTTTCTACATATCCCCTCTTTTTTATAGTTATTTTAATTCAGAAATAATCCAAACAATAATCCTCTCACATTGGTGGGTCTCCCTTCCTATTGGCAGTGAGATCAGTACTCCCATTTAGAGTGCAGGGTGGAGCAGAGGACTGATGCTGCGGAGGAGGGAGGAGCTGTAGATTGCACCTCCTCCTGGAATGGGGGCCCAATTGGAATAGCAGGATGGGGGGAGGGGTGATGAATTATATGGTCCATGTATTTCCACCTTTACCATGTATTGTCAGATCCACTCACATAATACCACACAAAGTACATGCAGCCCCAAGAAATGTCATTTATTGCAGTTTATCAGATGTGGAGGCTGTGACGATCGCAGCGTCAAGTCCCAACCAGCTGTCCAGTACAATACAAA